CCTCTTCACTACAACTGGACAATAGAGTCATCAGTCAAAATCGATCATCAGTTAAAAATAAAAATAATAAAAATAGTTTTGGTTTTTTTTTGTGTGCTTTTTTTTTTTTTACAGATGATTCCATGGCAGAGTCAAATGATGTGACATACTCAGAAGCCATGACAAAAGTAAAGAAATGCAAACGCAAAGGTGTGCAAAATTTTAATTTTGGGGGGTGAACTATCTCTTTTACTATTAAACATCATGCACCATTTTTGCTACAGATCAGAATGACTCCTAAAGTCATGTGGCTCATTGAGGAAATATATAAATCTTACATTTTATCATTATTTTATTATTGATGATTTGTCTTCTTCAGATGCTGATGCTGGAGTTGGTGATGCAATTTATGCTCAACCTATGAGGAAGAAGGGTAACCAAAAAAATAATTCTGTTACAATTGTACAATAATTTTATAATAGCTGACAGCAAGCTCACAATTTGCACTTGTTGTACTGGATTGTGGCATATATTGGTTCTTTTACATTATAAATCTGCTTTAATGGATTCAGTTATTTGTGAAGTTCATTATGATCTTAAAACTAAATCGTCAGCAGAATGAGCTCAAATCAGAGGTCTATATTATTCACATCACCTGCATTATCTTTTATCTGTTTAAAGGTCCCTGAGTGCAGTGAAGACAACAGACGGCTAAAAGAGATTCACAGCAGCAGACAATTAGCGCTTGCATTGCTTAAAGGGGTCACAGGATGCTAATTTCACTTTTACATGTTGTTTAAACATAAATGTGTGTTGGCAGTGTGTGTACACATCTACCCTATAAATGATAAAGATCCACCCAGTGTTTTTTTTTTTAATCCCTAAAAATAATGTCCCCTTTTTCAAATCAGGCCGCTCTCAGCTCCTTGTCTGTGTGACGTCACACGGACGAAAGCCGCTCCCACGATAGTTGATTGACACTAGCGTCTTACCTTAGCCCCGCCCTGAGTGAGCTGTAACAGTCCAGTGTTTCACCGCCGGAGCAGATGTAGACAAGATTGTCTCCTAAGCGATTGAGGTGTTTTGTTGTTGGATGTAATAATGAACATAGCAGTCGTCATTTACTCCCGCCATCTGAGCCGCTGAAGACGCAGAGGATTAACGTTTGTTTGTGAAGAGAATGCGCCCCCGATCTACATAAATGCGTTTATGTCCGCGCGAATCATTCGTGATCCAGCTTCACTTACAGCAGAAGTGAGTATAAGGGGTTTTTTATTAAACTTAGCAAGTTTTGCGGCTAAAGTAAACAGTATCTCAGAGCACGGTTCGTCACCCCACAGAAGAGAGGGGCGGGGTCAGCAGAGCTCATTAGCATTTAAAGCTACAAGCACAAAACAGTTTGATTTCTGCAGAGCTGTTTTTGACAAGGTAAAAAGGGTGTTTTTTACACTACCATTGATCAATTTTAACCAAAGTATGTTATAGACTTTTCATTAAGACCCTAAAGAATCATATCAACTTGTGGAAAATGGGCATGCGATGACCCCTTTAAGAAATTAATCCGAGTGAACTGCTTATGCACATGCTTGATTAAAATACTTTAGAGATACATGTTCACTGTATTATCTGTACACATGCAAGCAAACAAATCTATCTATAATATATAGTAAAACACTTTTACCAGTGAGCACTTTTGTTAAACACAATTCAGTGTTAACTTCCCTAAAAGTTATCACAGCAATTAAATAGTTAAAAATATTGAAAAAAATATAGAATACATAGTATACAATAATAGTGTTATTGGCACTTGGTTAATAGTTAAATATGTTTTTGTTTAAATGTTTTTTTTTTG